TCCCAAGGTCACATGGCATGTCAGAGGCCGTCCCAAGGTCACATGGCATGCCAGAGGCCGTCCCAAGGTCACATGGCATGTCAGAGGCCGTCCCAGCCTCCCAGATCCAGGAGCACAGGCCAGGTACCCCTGGGTTTGTATACCCGCCTCTGCAGAGCCAGGGCTTGTGCTTACTCACTTCTTCCCCACCCCAGCCCCCCAAGGGCAAGCGTCTTGAGCCAGGTTAAAGACACGCTGAAAGTTCTACCTCCCAGCTTGCAGCTCATTTGGCCACCAAGAACCTAGGGAAATGATGTTGTTTTACGGATGATGCTACAGAGGTGGGTATCTGAGCCTCCTGAGGTTGCTGCCTTTCCATGGAGGATGACATTTTTGTGGCCTCCCCAGTGGGACAGTAGAATCATTTGCTCTTCTAGGACTGGCCAAGGTGGACCTACTGTATAGTTTTATGTCAACTTGACACAAACTAAAGTCATCTGAGAGGAGGGAACCTTGTTGAGAAGACACCTCCATAAGTGTCTTCAGGGCATCTTCTCAATTAGTGATTGATGGAGACGGGCTCAGCCGGTGGTGGGTGGGGCCATCTCTGGGCTGGTGGTCCTGGGTTCTCTAAGAAAGCAGACTGAGTAACTGAGTAAGCCATGGAGAGCAAGCTAGTAAGCAACACACACACACACACACACACAAATCCATGGCCTCTGCATCAGCTCCTGCCTCCAGGTTCCTGCCCCATCCTGGCTTCCTTTGAGGATGAATAGAATAGATTTGTGAATGTGTAAACCAAAGAAAACTTTCCCTCCCCAACTTGCTTTTTGGTCATGGTGTTTCATAATAGCAATAGTAACCCTAAGTAATACAGTAGAGGACAGCCATGTAGGCCTCATGAACTGACAGGACCACAGTCATGTGAGATAGGACAATGGTGAAAACTCAAGTAGCCCCTGCTAGGAGCTCCCAGCCCAGCAGCCTCCCTGGGGCATGGCCTGCAGTTTTGACTGCAAGGTGATTTCTCTGCAGATAAGGAGCCCAGCTCTTACAGGCAGCATGGGGAACAAGTCCAGTTGCCCTGCTTGGCCTGGTAGAGCGAGGCTTGAGATCCTGGGAAAGTGATTGCAGGTCTCACACCTACCACTCTGACATCCAAATCAGAGCCCCCAAAACCAGAGTCTTGCCAGATAATCTGCCAACTAGAAAAAGGCACAGTGGTGAGGACTGGTTCCGGGAGATCAGAAACGCTTGACTGTAGGTTGGGGACTTCTGGGGTGGCCTGGGCTTTCCCCTGCCTTCTGTAGGAAGAGGGCAAGTCTCCCTCTGAGAAGGGAAAGGACCAAGTCCCCTTTGGTGTGCACAGGGTAGCTGGCACAAGCGGTTTAGGACATGTTTACTGAACTAAGACAAATGTCGCTGTTTCCAAATTCACTCAGATCCTGAGCACCCACAATGCATGCATCAGCCTGGTAATAGCGTTGAGACTGTGACCTTAGTACAAAGAGACAAACCCACTTCCTTGTCAGGAGCACTCACACCCACCTACTCAGGTGAGAGCTAACTAACGCGTGTGTGTGGAACATATGGGAAGTGACAAGGGGGACACAAGCCAGGAGGCTGAGGAGGAGAAAAAGAGGTGGCTCCATCAGGAGATGGCAACAGGAAATGGGAAGCCCTGAGGGGTGAGCGTGTGGCTTCCTGCCTGGGAGGGCTGCTGCAGGCAGAGGGGACCAGCAGTTCCAAGGCCCAGTGGTGAGGGATGTGTCAGCCCTGACACCATTGAGGAGATCTGGAGGGTTACCAGGGTGATCCGGGCAGGACCCGGACCTGGGAGAGGATTGCTCACAAAGCAGAGGCTGCCATAGACAACACTGAACCATTACCCTGCCTTTGTCTCTGCTGTGGACAGAGTCAACATCTCAAGGGTAGAAATGCCTTAGATGGCCGAAGATAAAGAAATAGACTGGATTGTCCAGGTTAGGCGTACCTTCTGATAGGACCTTGGAGAACTTTGCTCTTGAGGACTAGAACCAGGGTTAAGACTCCTTTGAGGGGAAAAAAGGAAAGCCCCCAAATGCTTTTTCCAAGAAGCCCGATACAGGACCCAAGAGCATGGGTGGGTTCCTTGTAAACTCTCCTGGTCCCTGGAAACCTGGCCCAGCTTACACCCTCCATTGGGCATCTTCTCATCCCAGGGCATAGCCCAGGGGCCCCTACCTCAGGCTAGCTGTAGGTGGCTCAGGCACCAAAATGCTCTTGCACTCACAACCATCCCCTGAAGGTGTCCAGGCGAATTCCTCAACCTGGTGCTGGGTGGAAGGGCAGTAGGAGACCAAGATGATGATGAGGTTTGAATAGAAAGAGAGGAGAAGAAGGGAACTATCTCAGTTTCTCATAGTGAATCTTAGACCAGGAAGCCTAGTTGTCCACTCACAGTGTGTCTCCATGTGACTGTCTCAGCAAGACATCAGAGAGGCTTGTGAACTCTAGGTGTGGAGCCACTGTCCTGGAACACCCAATTAATTCTGGAACATTCATCTAGCATGATGCACTGAAGGAAAGAAAGAATGGTAAAGCAAAGAGAAGTGTTTCTAATCCTCAGTCATAGGCCATGCTGTGTGAGGTTCTAACCCGTGCCCAGAAGGTGGAATGACCACCGTCTTAGAGTTTCTATTGTTGTGAAGAGACACCATGACCACAGCAACTCTTATAAAAGAAAACTTTTAACTGGGGCTAACTTACATTTTCAGAGTTTCAGTCCATTATCATCATGGTGAGAAGCATGGCGGCCTGCAGGTAGACATGGTGCTTGCTGGAAAGGAGATAAGAGTCCTGCAACAGGAAGGGAACTGTCTCCCTGGGTGTAGCTTGAGCATAGGAGACTTCAAAGCCCGCCCCCAGAGTGACACACTTCCTCCAACAAGGCCACACCTCCTCATAGTGTCGCTCCCTTTCTTTCAAACCACCACACCCACCAACCTTGAACAAAGGGCTCTGAGGAGGGCGGGGGATCTCACCTCAAAAGAAGCTAACCCCACTGTGGTTTGTTTCTCTCACCATCATCGCCACATTGGATGGAGGTAGAACTACTGAGTTACAGGGATGGAGGAGATCCTGCGGTGCCCGGCAGGGCCTGTCTAGAGTACCAGCAAGTGGTAGTGACTTCACTAGGCAGGACTGGTGAGGAGAGCAGCAACTAGAGAATTGAACACTGGCCTCATGCATCTCCAGTGCCAGGACTGACATTCTGTGAGGAGTCTGCATGCATGGCCGGACCTCTGTGTCCTAAGCAGGAGAGATGACCAGCTAGCCTGAGGGCCGTAAGCATCAGCTGGTCAGGTTCTTCTCTATGTCTTGGCTTCTCCAATTTTTTTTTTTTTTTTTAACCCAGGGGACTGACTCAATAAAGAGAGCTCATCTAGTCTGTGGGGATGAGCCAGCCCTGACTACACATGTGGGAGTTACAGATGGAGCCCATTCAAAAAAGGCCAGAAAACCCTCATGGAGGGTCCACCCCCTTCTTAACACCTGCTTTGTTCCCAGGTTCTCCCATCATTCATTACCCCAAAGACAAAAGGACCCTCTGCTCCCTGGCCCTAGGCCAGCTTCACAGCACAGTGAAGATAAGCCTGTATTCAAAAACTTTCCATCCTACCCAGGGTGGCCCGGGGCCTGAGCCAGACACCTCAGATTCATTCCCCAAAGCCCAGCTTCATCAGCCCCCTTAATGCTTGTGGGTACAGTCCTGCCCCCAACCTGGACTTCTGCCCCTGGCTGTTCTCATTCTTGTGGACATGTTGAAATACCTTCTAGGTCAGAGACGCTGAGATGAGGCGCTCCCTTCCACCCCACCAGAACTAGTCAAGGGTTCTGATGAGAGAAGATCAGTGCTGGGCAGGGAGGCATGTCCCCAGGACGGATGCTTCTCAGCCCTGGTCCAGCCAAGACTACAGAATCAAGGGAGAGTGAGCACTGGCTAGCAAGGCCTAGCTACACTGCTAAGTAGAAGCCCTCAGCGTATGCTTTTCTCTGGCGACGCTGGCTCTATGAGAATACAAAGACCCAGCCGAACCCTGGCTGGCTCACAACGCCCCACCTCTGGGGAGCAGTCTGGCCAGAGGGGAAGGTAAGGGAACGTCTCACAGGTTCCAGATCTTCTTCTTTTATTGTTTTCTTTCTGCTTCCATGATTCCACAACCCCTAGCACCAAGAGCAAACATCTGGAAATGTTGCTAGGGGTCATGAAATCATGGAAGCAGAAAGAAAAAAAAAATAAGAAGAGGGAGAGAAAAGCCAGATGCCGGAGAGAGTAGAAGCATCTTTATCTGGATGAGCTTGACTCACCTCTAAAAACAGAGTTCCAGCCACAAACTTGGGCAGTTTCCAGCAGAGCAAGACAGAGAGGAATGAAGAGAGATGGCTGGGCCAGAGGCCGGAGGATCCTGGCGCCCAGCTCTCAAAACGGTCAGGAATTCCTGATTCTCTGAAAGCCAGGCCTTGGGTAATTTGGCTTCGTGGGTGCCAACTCACACCAAAATCAAACCTAGAGCCACCAGCAAGGATTAGGAAAAGCTCTGCTGATCTTACTCAGCTCCGAGCTCTGTGTGAGTCAAACTTTTTCTGAGTTCACTGTTTGTACAACAAGGTCCTGGTGATGAATTCCTGGATATGTGTCTTGCACTGCTCAGATTCAAGATGGGATGTCCTAGTGTGCTCCTTCGAACCTGTAGCCAAATCCTAGAGCCCCCCCCCCCTCCACCTCCCAGCCAACAGGAGATGGGAAGCCATCACTCACTACACCGACAGGGTTGAGCTTTGGGGGGTTTTGGCCACACCAAGCTGTGTCTGTGGGGCCTATTTGCCAATACACATTAGTTAAGGCCACAAGTGTCAGCTGAGAAAGTGCAGGGTTGTTGAAGAACCTCCTATTATCACCAAGCGCCAAGAGAAAGGCGCCTCCCTCCAGCCCTCAGCTCAATTGAAAGGCTCAATCTTTTTGGGTAATCCCCCGTGACATCATGGGAACAGAGGTGGTTTCATTTAAGACCAGCGTAGGTCCAGGGAGCTGCCCAGTACAGAAACCTCCCCCGACAGCCTTCGCCATCAAAAACCCAGCTGAAGCTGTGAGCTCTTTCGTTTTCTGTCAGGGTAAGTCCTAGCCATCTGTTTTCCTCTTAGGGTTGTTAAATGCAGTCACAGAACATGCCTCTTAGGAAAGACAAGGAACAAAAAAGTGTCCTTGTCGACAGATGTAGACAAGCTGCAAACATTTTAAATAGTTTGTATCCTCAGTCTGGTCTGTTTGGGTTTGTTTCTGGTTTGGAGGAATGAATTTTTGTTGTCTTGAGACAAGAGCCTACTTGTGGCCTAGTACTTCTTCCGGCTCTCCAAATCTGGATTATGCAGGTGTGAACCACAATACTCAGCTTCTGGTTTGGGGTGTGTGTGTGTGTGTGTGTGTGTGTGTGTGTGTGTGTGTGTGTGTGTGTAGCTCTGGAACTTACTCTGTAGACCAGACTTGCCTTGAACTCATAAACTCCTGTCTCTGCCTGAGTGCCGGGATTAAAGGTGTGCATCACCATGCCTGGCCTTTTCCCCTCTTCTTAAAAACTTTTTCCCTTCATTTTGATTTTCTGTGTTTGGGTGTTTTGCCTGCATGTAATGTGGACATGGTGTGTATATAGTGCCTGCGGTGGACAGAAAAGCATGTCAGATCCTCTTGGACTGGAGTCACAGATGGTTGTGAGCCACCATGGGATTGCTGGTACTGAAATCCCGGTTCTTTGGAAGAATGGTCAGGCCTGGTCTTAGGTTTCTATTGCTGCGACGAAACACCATGACTAAAAAGCAGGCTGGGGAGGAAAGGGTTTATCTGTCTTACACTTCCACATCATCTAGTCCATCATTCAAAAAATTCAAACAGGATATCAAACGGGGCTAGAACCTGGAGGCAGGAGCTGATGCAGAGGCCATGGCGGGGGGTTTGCTTACTGGCTTGTTCAGTCCACCTCCTTATAGAACCCAGGACTACTAGCCCAGCGATGGTACCACCCAGAGTGGGTTTGACCCTCCCACATGGATCACTAATTGAGAAAATGCCTTGCAGCTGGATCTCATGGCATTCCCTCAGCTGAGGCTCCTTCCTCTGATGATTATAACTTGCATCAAATTGACACATGAAACCACCCAGTACGGTGCTTTTAGCCAAGGAGCCTTTCCTCCAGCCCCTACTAGTTCTCTTAAATGCCAGTTCTCTCTTCCTCTGAAGGACCAGGCTTCTGTCTGCTTTGCAGGCCAGACAGCCTGTACTGCACCCACCCTGGTCTGCTTCCCTAGCACAGAAATCGTTGACAACGCTATTCCATAAGCAGTGGGTATGGCTGGGTGCCAATAAAACTTTATTGTCTGGGACAGACCACAGGCTGGGTTTGGCCTCCTACACTCTTTACTCCGTCCATTTCAGATCACTGTGGATGGCGTCCCAGGCCTCGCTGGAGCTGCAGCCCTCTAACCAAAGCCAGCAGGCCCCTCCCAACGTCACCTCCTGCGAGGGTGTTCCAGAAGCCTGGGACCTGCTGTACAGGGTGCTGCCAGGGTTTGTCATCACCATCTGTTTCTTTGGCCTCCTGGGGAACATTTTAGTGCTGTCCTTCTTTCTCCTGCCTCGGCGGCGGCAATGGCGGCAGAGACATCACCGCTTAACCATAGCAGAAATCTACCTGGCTAACTTGGCAGCTTCTGACCTGGTGTTCGTGCTGGGCCTGCCGTTCTGGGCAGAGAACGTCGGGAACCATTTCAACTGGCCCTTCGGAACTGACCTCTGCCGGGTGGTCAGCGGGGTCATCAAGGCCAACCTGTTCATCAGCATCTTCCTGGTGGTGGCCATCAGTCAGGACCGATACAGGTCACTGGTATACCCCATGACCAGTCGGGGGTACCGGCGGCGGCGGCAAGCCCAAGCCACCTGTCTGCTCATCTGGGTAGCGGGGGCCCTCTTGAGCATCCCCACATTCCTTCTTCGCTCTGTCAAAGTTGTCCCCGACCTGAACATCTCTGCCTGCATCCTGCTTTTCCCCCACGAGGCTTGGCATTTTGCAAGGATGGTGGAATTGAATGTTTTGGGTTTCTTCTTCCCACTGGCTGCCATCATCTTCTTCAACTATCACATCCTGGCATCCCTGAGAGGGCAGAAGGAGGCCAGCAGGACCAAGCGTGGGGGTCCCAGGGGCAGCAAGACAACGGGGCTGATCCTCACACTGGTGGTCTCCTTCTTGGTCTGCTGGGCCCCCTACCACTTCTTTGCCTTCCTGGACTTCCTGGTCCAGGTGAAAGCAATTCAGGACTGCTCCTGGAAGGAGTTCACGGACCTGGGGCTGCAGCTGGCCAATTTCTTTGCTTTCATCAACAGCTGCCTGAACCCATTGATTTATGTCTTTGCGGGCCGACTTTTAAAGACCAGGGTCTGGGAACATTATAAATGATACACCCCTATGCGTCTCATGCCCACATACCCCAGTAGGAAAGAACTCTTCCAACTGTTCTGGCACAATTGGAACAGCAGCAAGCCAAGAAGTCTGCTTTCTAGATCAATCATCTCCAATAGCATAAAGGCCAGCTGATCGGCTGACCCATGGCCCACAAGGGTGCCCAGGGAACGCTACTAATAGGGTAGCAGGGACCTTGTAGATGTAATTAAGCTAAGGACCTGAAGATTTAGCTGATCCTGAAGTATTTGGGGCAGGGGGAACAAACCAATCACAGGGGGCCTTTTAAGCAGGGACTTAGGAGGGCTGGGATGTGTAATGAGGAAGGGGCCACACGCAGAGGATTGCAGGCACCGTAGAAAAAACGCAGACATTGGCTCTGCGGCCTCCAGAAAAAACCAGCCCAGCCAACATGCTGTCTTCCATGACTGTGAAAGAATAAAGCTGTGTTCTCATTTGCATTTGCCAAGTTTGTGATTACTGCTTCAGCAACAACAGAAAACTTACACAAGAGCCCAGCAAGGGTCACTTTTCACACTTTCATTCACACAGACCTTCTCAGGCTGATTTTGAGGGATGCAGAGGTGGCAGTAGCTGCAGACCCTGTCCACAAGGAGCTTGCATAGGTCTACACCCCAAGTCAGAGGGGAGGCTCCACAGGCTCCAGATCCAACAGCTCCCAGGGAAGGGTCAGTTCCTCCCCTCAGGTCCATGCAGTGGACTCTGGGGCCTGTGGAGACAGACAGGAAGGGCTGGACACTTACTCAGCCCCTGCAGTGGGATGGCACAGGCTGTTGCCCAGAATTCACATGAGTACTGTTAAATGCTGGAGCTTCCATCCAATCTCTCCTTGGCTTCAGGGATCTAGCAGGGACCCTCCCAGAACCTCTGCCTCCAGAGAACTCTGGATGATACACAAGAGAGCATCTCAGGACAGAAGAACCCACACATCCAGGTAACAGGGTGAGTACGAGATCACAGGACAGCGGGTGCTTTATTTTAAGAAAAGCGATGCTCGAGAAAGATGCCATGAGACAGGGTTCAAGCATAGGGTTTTTGTTGTTTTAATTAGGGAAAGGGATCATAAAAGGGGAAAGGGAGGGGGGCCGACCAGCCTCTGGGGTCAGAAGCAGCAGGAGAGAGGAGAGAGAAAAAGGAGGGGGAGAGAGGGAAAGGTGGGGGAAGAGGAACAAACAGACCTGAGAAGGAGAGAAAGAAAGAGAGGAACAGACAGAGAGAGAGAAAGAAAGAGAAGGATAGGAGGTGACTGGGACCCCTTTAAAAGGGAATGTAGGAATGTAGTGAATGTGCACAGGTGGTGCTCTTTGTGGCTGCAGCTGAGGGTGCATCCTGCCAGAACCCCAAGGACAGGCCAGTACAGATGCCTAAATACTAACAGTGGAGGCTGGCAGGTTGAAGAGTATTCTGGGAGACATAGCATAGCTTTAAAAACAAAACAAAAAACTAGCAGTTAGTCAAACAAAATAGGAAAGGTCCAGACAGAAGAAGCAAGCTAAGGCAATGCAGTGAGCTTTCAAGTGGGAAGGACAAGGAGATCACAGAGGCAGGGCTGGAGGAGAACAGACATGGTATTTGATGACCACCAATGGACAGAGCTCACAAAGCAGGGGGTGTTCTGGGGGCTCTGAGAGGTCCCAGTGAATCTACATACAGAGCATGCATTACTTCTGAGAATTTGCTCACTGAGGCTTGGCAAGCCCCAGCAGGCGGTCAGGTTGTGCTGGCGTTGAATTTTGACAGACTGTCATGGTTCTGGGAGGCTGAGGGTGTCTGTGGAGAATGGCTGAGGGGTGGAAGAAAGCAAGCCTCGGTGGTGTAGTACCCAGCTTTCCCTCACTATGACAAACACTTAAAAATGTCGCCATAACAAGGGGGAAGGGTCATCTCCGCTCAGAGTCAGAGCTTCCCATCTGTGGTTGGCTTTGTTGCTGTGGGTTAGGGGCAGCAGCACAGAGCATCTTGGCAGGAGTGCAGGGTGCAGGAGGTACATGTATACGCCATGGCAACCGAGAATCAGAGGCAGACACAAGGAGCTGGGTCTCACTATCTCCTCTAAGGGAATGCCCTCACCCCTGCCATGACCTAACCTCCTAAATACCCCACTACCCCCAGGAGCATCACAGGCTGGCCTTTACCACATGGGCCTTTGGGGGACACAGGATCCAAACACTAGCAGGATGTGGGGAAGAGTGACACTGGAACAGATGGTGTGGGAAGCCTCGCCCAGAGTGGAAGGATGTCCTCAAACATCCCAGCATGGGCGTCATCCCAGGGGTGACAAGGACAAGCATGGCTGTGAAAGATAGTGATGGCGATGAAGAATAACGACCCAAGGAATTGCACAGGTGGGTTGGGTTGGCTGCCAGACCCACCACCGGGGAAGACTCTGCAAGGCCTAAGGAAGAAAGTTACTGAGCCAAGGGCCAAGGGCTATGTCCAGGAACTAGGAGGACACAATGACCAGACATTCAGGATGCATGGGAGGTGAGTATGGGCACGTGTCCTCATAGAACAACTCATTTAAAAACTAAAAAGTAACAGTACTACTGGAGCCTGGCCAGAACCTTGGTGATAACTCTATAGTCACTGCCTCAGCTCAATGTCTTCCTGGAGAATGTAGTGTGGTCTGGACATACTAGCAGGATCCAACCTGCCTGTGTGTCTACTTTGGACGCCATGATTTTAACAATGCTTTTGAGTCCATTGCTAATACAATATCCCACATAACTGCAGATCTCTAGCTTGACTAAACAGCTGACAGTGTGTCTTTCCAAGCAGCAGATGGTCTAGCCTCTGGCCACTGCTGTTGGCACTGAGAATTCTGCAGTGAATAAGAGGGGGCCATTCCTGGTGCCTTCAAGGATGACCCCCTGGGCCTCCCTGGGACACAGATACCTTGGTGTTGAGTGTCACTATGCTGCCAGTAGGGAGTCTCCCACAGATGTCACAAGTGCCTGGCAGCTCCAGGAGATTGCGTTTGCCACCCCTGATGAGAAGCTCCATAAAGCAGGGACCTGGTTTATGTGGGCCGTGCATATGAAGCCTCCTGGAGCTTAGCTCCGCATCAGGACGGGACAGCAGAGCTGCTGCAGGGGAGAGTCTGGCCTTGGATCAGAACCAATGCTGGAGAAGAAATGTTTTCTGTTCCCACAGGTTTGGCAACAGGCTCTGCTGGCATGTTTCATGCTTAGGGCTGGACCCAGCCACACCTGGGGTGCCGATACTGGTATGGACAGTGAATTAGCCAGGGGTCCCCCATGTCTCCCGAGAACTCCTACTTTCTCTTTTAGAGGGGCCAAGGCCAGAGGCAAAGCTTCTTCCTTCTGCGGGGCCCTGCCAACTTCTGGACACATCTTGTTTTTGCTGCTCTGAACAGGGGAGGAGACAGGCTCCGTGCCTCACAGACCATCCCTCACCCTATGCATCATGGTACTGAGAAGGGCTAAGCCCCTCCAAATCCCAGCCCTGGGGAGCTCCTACGTGTTGCAACAGCCAAGGCAGGTTCTTATTCTCTGTAGATGAGTCATGAATTTGATGAAGAGCAGGTAGGGAGGCTTCCCACGGGCCTGGGAACCAGAGCAAGGCTACGGTGATCTCTTGGTTCCAACTGAGCTCACCTCTGGTCTCTGAACACCTTTATATCCTTCATACTGTCTTCCTACTAGAGCTGTTGACAGGGTTACAGATGGGGCTCTGGTTGTCAGGGTTACAGATGGGGACTTTGGCCCTAACAAGGAAAGCCCAGAGTCCTCAATTGGCCAATTTAACAAAGGTGCAAGTGGCAAATGTAGATGTATTGCGTATGGCCACAGTGAGAGTGGGAATGAAGAGGCCGGTGACTCTCCAAGGGCAAGGGGTGTGGATATCTATGCAGGCCTGGTCAAGGTGTGGTCCTGCCCATTAATGCCCATTGCTACCTCAGCCCCAGTCTCTCCATCAAGGCGGTCTGACAAGCTGTCAGGACACTGGGAGATCTTCTGGGAGATGACTTCTTCTCCCACCGGTGCCAAGCTTCAGCCTTTTCCTTTTGCTTGCATGACTCCATCGAAGGAAAAAGCCACTGATTAGGTCAGTGCCCTTGGAGCCAATCACCTCCTTCACTGGCCCATCAGATGGTAGCCAGTGTCCCAACAAGCGAGTACACATGAATGTCTCAAATCCAAACCACAGCACCAAACATCTTGCATGTCCTTTGGCCAGAGCTGGGGGTGGGGATGGGGGTGGGAGGTGGCAGCCATTCTGCGACAGGCTTCTGTGGCAGCCATTAATGCTGTCCTTTCTGTTCCGGCTTGCATTGTGCCATGGAAGGTTCAAAGTCACAGCCCCCCTGCCTGCCCTCCCATCCTCCCTGGGTGTTTTTCTGCTACAGCCAGCTTGGAAACCTTGCTTTAAGATGGGCCATAAAGAGCTACTCAGGTGGTGTCAGATGTGGTGCATGCCTTTAATTCCAGCGCTTGGGAGGCAGGGGCAGGTGAATCTTTGAGTTCGAGGCCAGCCTGGTCTACAGAGCAAGTTCCAGGACAGCCTGGGCTATTCAGAAGAACCCTGCCTCAAAAAAAAAAACAAAAGAAATACTAATATCTGTCGGTGTTCAGGGTTCCTCGGGTTGGTGGAAGAGAGACTGCAGGGTGTGATAAGAAAAGCAGCAGGATGGATCAGCCTCTGAGGGCTAGAACTCTCAACAGCCTTGCAGCAGCCTCTTTATTGGTACCCAAAAGACACTTTTAGCAAGTCGATTTCCGCATACCGAAACCTCTTACCTAAGCAGTTCTCAGCTATACAAGCCTTCTGGCCTGCCAGGTATGTCTGCAGACTACGATCCTCTGCTCTCACCTGTCCATACACTCGGGTCTTGCCTAAGCAGTGGATTGACTTCCCTGATGCTCTGCCCCAGTGTGGAAATGCGATATCTTGATGGACAAGTTGATCTGACTCTGAGCTTCTGTGTCATGAAGCGGATGGGCCCTGCCTGCCACTCTCTCCCACGCCAGCCTTCGCGGTAGATGTCACTGTAGTGTTCTGCCTGCCTCCTGAGTTCAGAAAACAGCAGTGCCCACACACCCAGTGCCCGTTATCTTACTGCTGCGACTCCACACACTGGAAACCTGGTCCTTGGTGCCTTTGGAAGGTGACTGTCTCATGAGGGCAGAGCTGGGAGTTGATCCTCTCACAGGTAAACATGTAACTGG